GGTTAATCTTAATTAATACGATGGAAAAATATTTAAAAATTTTTGTATATAACATTGAATGATAGGATAAATTCATTTTAGTCGAGCTAATTGTCTTGACTCTATATATTCGAATTTATCTTACATCGATTTTCTAAATTGAAAAATGTCTTTTTATCAATCACAAATAACGTGATGGAACAATATTTACATACTCATAATATTTAATTAAATATAATCGCGGATAAAATTAATATTAGAAGAAAGATAATGTGTATAATTTATTACATTTAAAGTATGAAAAATATATTTGCATAAAAATTCGAGGCCTAAATAGATTGCATAGATACCGAAGTTGAGGAGAAAAAAGTGTGCATGCAAGGCAGCTGGTCTTGGACATCCATTAATATTTCTAGGACAACGAGATACCGTTCCATCAAGAGATTCAAGAAATCCTTGCGCCTTTCATTTTTAATACTCATTACAATTATGAAACGATGAATCAATAATGCAAGGTATTAGCAGATTCATTCGCGTGACAAATATTTATTGCTATTTACCTTCTCCAAGATGGTGGACATCTTCCACGCGATAATTCCTCAAGTTCCTTTCTTTTTTTCTAGCAAAAATTCATGTTTTTCCTTCGTGACAAAGACCTGAAATGAATTGTTACGCTTTAGAGATGAAAGTTTCTATATAATTAATTGTATATGGAGTTAAATTTTATAATAAATTTTTCTCTGATAATTTCGAAGAAAACGCTCGTCTCGTATAATTAATTTTAACTTTCCCTCCGAAACTTCATTCGAATTCTTAAATCGATCGACGTGCGTGATGATCGTCGCCTGCAAAAGTGCAAAGAGTTTAAATTACAAAGGCTGGCGTCACGGAATACTTACATATATCTTTTGCCACGACGCAAGCGAGGGTGTTTGACTAATCAAAAAGCACGTCACAGGGACGTGAGCTGTGCGTCGAACCGACCTCGAAAACAAACAAACGGAAGCGGAACACGCGTCACCGTGGCCGAAATGTTGGCAGAGATGTTTGCGCAGTTAGCTAATGTAATATCGTTTATCCATCGAGTATCGAATGTTGCTGACAAAAGGAAACTCCGGAGGAATACTTAACCGATCATCCAGGGAGAAGAGTTGCAACTCTTTTGCTCGATTAATAATTCCTAGGAAGGAGAAGATATTACTCGTCCATTCAAGAAAATATTTTATTATTACATAAAATATTTTACAGGGAATCGAAAGTCTCATTGAAGACTCGACGTTATACATTTTTAAAGGAATAGATTTTTTTTCAAAATTGTAGATACATCTCTTGTAAAAGTGGATCGAATATTTCTACGCCATTCTATAAATTTTAAATCCTGAATTACTTTTTCAGGAATGGAGCAACGTTGAAACGAAAAACATAACCAATGTATCGATATTATCCACTTGATACTTCTTGGATTAATATTCCATCTAAAATCTCAAAACTTAGGTTCTTTCTTTTTGGAATATTCATTTTAAAACGATCTTCCTTCGAAAGATAACAATTCAATCAATCTTTCTAAACACCTCTCTTTATATTCCAAATTCGTGACAAATTTTTAATTTCGATTGAATGAAGATCTTTGATTCGATAACGATACTTTGAACCAGGGGATCTAATTTACGAACGAATAATTTTCTATTGATCAAATAAGCTAATTGACTTATCAGCCTAGCAGATACACCCGCGGTGCAATACTCGCTGGGAGGAATATCAAGCGGAATAAAAGCCAATAGATACAAAGGTGTATCGGGTTGATAATAAATACGAGGAAGGCGCGAGGGCATAAATCGGTTTCCTTTATTAGCCGTGTAAGGCCACGAGCGTATATTTCACCGATTTCACCGGGGGATGCAACTTGTTTAAGCGAGTGAAGCGAAAACCAGTTCTCGGCGTTAACTATCGCGCGGCGTTTTTCAGAATAATATTGGGATTTATTGGGAGGAGGCAGACTCCATAGAATATCCTCTTCCTTCCTCGTCTCGTTCGACGACGTGAGTCAGAATTCAGACTCAGTTTTTCTTATTTGAAATGGAAAGATGATCGAGGATTTAATTCGTTTCGAGAATAAATCAGTTTATAATTGTTATATTTACGTGGAATTAATATCATTAAAAATTGTATTATTAATAAATATATATTTTTCAAATAGGAAAGTAAAGAATAAGTGAAAAGGAACATATTTGGATGTGAGAGAAAAAGTTTTGGAGAATAAGAATTTTATAATTTTTCTATGGAAAAATATTTTGATCGAATGGAAAAATAAAGTAAAAATTTATTTCGATAACATGGCGGAAATAAAGTGTTCTAGAATTGGAATAAGATGTTTTTGGAATTATATAAATCTTATGAACAAAACGCCACGAGAATATTTAAAATTTTGTGCAAATTTCTTGAAATGCAACATTCGATACTCATTGTCGAAAATCATGTATATAATATTTTTTTCTCCCTCTCTCTCTCTGTCTCTTTGATAGTTAATAATTCTTCTTCTATCGATTGTTCGTTTCGTTATGAAATTTTACTCGTGATGATGCTTCCTCGAATTCTCGTTTCTTATTCTGCTCATCATTGACTTCCGGTTGCAGTTAAATTTTCATGGTGTCATAATCCGGGACAATCGATAACAATTTGCTTGATCGTCGAAAGATTTTACGCGACTAAGTTAAGATTTAGACATTGTTCTCTGTAATTTAACTGAGAGCCGAAAGATGATGATGTTTCTTAACAATTTTACGATCCACCATAGTGACACTCTGAAATTGTTTTCATATTTAGCCTCTTCCTTTTAAACGAAGATGAGATAAACAAAGTTTCTCTCTCATCTTATCTTCTGCATCTTCGAATCCTCCTGAAAGAAAAGTCGTTTATTAGCACCATATTTAATGCACAAGTAATTAATAATTGTTAATAATTATTTATCTGATTTTTTAATTACAATATGATGTTAATAACCTACTCACGTGTCAACGATCTTAATAATCTTAATATCCATGAAAATCTCTCGCATCTATCTGTAAATCAAACATCTTAAAAAATATTTTAAGAAATTAATAATTCTAATCTCACACGTTCTATCGTTCCTCACCTTCGATCGAATCCTGCATCCCAAATCGAATGTCGCAATGACGTGTTCTCCGGGTATCACGTCCTCCCAAAATGGCCGTCGAATCTTTGAATCCATACCGATCGGAAATTAGATGGAACTAGGAGTGCCTCTTTCACGAGTCGTGGGAAGATTTCCTCCTTCTAACTGTACAACACCCTTCTTCGTCCGTGGAAAAAAACGGTGTAACACGGATCAGCCGGATCAGAAACTGGTATTCCGAGATCAATATTCATTCGAACTTCTTACCCTCGGTCATTACGATTTGTTTCCTCGCTCCCACTTATTTTCCGCGTTCCTCCTCCCCCTCCTCCTCCTCCTTTTCCTTCTCCTCCTTCTCGTCCATCTTCTTACCAGACGACATTCTTCGATTCGATCCATCGCTTACGATCCGATCCGTGGAACCGTCCACGTTGGATCCAATGAATAAATGCAGATGGATGCAGAGGATCGTTGTTTAGCTTTTCCTGTAACATTAGAGATACGTATGTTGTACGTTGGAGACGTAAAAAAAAAAAAAAGGATGCGATTATATCGTTTGAATTATTAATTATCTTGTACATCCCGTAACTCGTTCAGGAAGATTTCTTGGTATATCATGGATCGTGGAAATAATAAATTTTAAACGATGAATATCGGAGCACGAAACATAAAATTATGAAAATAATTTTATATTAATATTAAATCATTGAATTCTATTTTATCCTTTCTCTCTTGTGCAAATATTATTTCACAAGATGTTATTATTGGAGAAAGTAGTTTCGAATTCTCGAAATGAGCACAATGATTTGTTAATGTAAATTGTCGATGGAAGAATCGAGTCAGAGGGAGGGACAAAGGAATTTTGGGAGGATGGTAATTAAATCTAAGGTAAATCGATTCTCGTAGCAAATCGATGTCCCTCGATAACAACAATGAACGACGGCTAATTGATTTACAAGTCGGTGCTCCACATTCTGCTTTATTATACCTGCACGCCTGCTCAATTGACCGTGACGAAATATTTTCCCTTAATTGAATAATCAACGGTTAATCAAACGGTCGGCTCGATTAAGATAACGATCGGCCGGCCCACTTAGCGCGGCAAACGGGCCGAATAGCAAGTAATTATTCACACAGCCATCTGAATAATTGCCGGGGAAAATTAACCGAGCACGGACCAGTTGCCTCTCATGGCTTTATTAATAACGACACGTTTTCGACGCGAACTCTTTCCTCCCCTCTCCCCTCAATGGATTGGAACGATGGCCAATTTACTCGCGCATTATATCGTGTTTTCACTTTGACTTGTTTTTACTTTTACTAATTTTTTTTTTCAAAACTTTCCCTCGAGCGTTGAAGAGAATTCGAATTTAAGGAATCGAATTTGATGATCGCCTTTGATTTTCAAAAGAATATAAATTAAATATTTGTTAATATCGTTCTCAGGAATTGGAAATATTCGAAAGATTTGAAAATTCCCTCCAAAGAAAATTTTAAATCATCCCCTATTTTTAAAATATTTTCTATTATTATATTAGCTCTGGAATCCATTTTTTAGAAATAATCAGAAACGTCCCTCTTTAATTATCAATTTAGAAAAGCGAACAGACCTTCGTTTCGCCGATGATTTTTTTTTTTTTTTAATAGAATGAAACGTGATAGTTCGTAAAGAGAGGAGGGGAGAGGGGGGGGAAATGAGTAGGAAAACGAGGTAGGTAGCGGTGGAGGAGGAGGAGGAGGATCGAGGCGGAATATTAACCAATTCTGTTCGATTAAAACAACAAAGTCGGGAGAACGGCAAGAAGTCTGGGACCGTCTCGACAGACTTGTTCACGTGGAGGGAACTCGTGCTTGCTTCGTCACCCTCGAAGCCACAATTTCTTCACACTAATTACCGATCCGTCCCGCCCACCTGACAAGCGAGAATGTGTGAAAGACACGGAGAACCCGACCCATCCACGAACAAGCTCTCCTCGATCGAGCAACAATATTGTTCGTCGATTAATTCCATAATTCTCCACGTATTCGAAAATGGAAGAATTTTTTCGAATAATTAAATGGCAATTAAACGGAACTGAAACGAAAATTTTTAAGTATCGGAGATGGAACCTTCTCAAAAGAATATTTCGATTGGCACAAATGTTGATTTGAGAAAAAAGTGATAAAAGATTTAAATTAAGATTAAAAATCACTCTCTTCTTTTCTCCATCTGATAAACGAAAATTAATATTAATTTTGCAAGAAACAAAATTAATTTAGAATTTAATTTGATAGCGTTTTAATTTCTCGAGAGTCGAATTCCGACCTCGATTCGAGAATGGGGGGGCTCGAGATAGGATCGAGATAGAGTGATCGATTTACGTGAATAATGAGACGGGGAATGAAGCCACACCCCCCCTCCGATAAATTTAACGCGTTACGGAACCGCGACCGATGCTCTCTCGCCGTGGAACAGGAGTGTTCCACGTCGTTAGACGCCGAGGTTACGTCCTGGGCCCCGTACAGACCCATGGTGGTCCCCCTCGACCAGGTGGCCGGCCCCCACCGATGCCAACTAATTAAATCATGAAAAAGGCGGTGAACGTGCGTCCTACAGTTTTTACGAAATTAATAAACCGGAACCACCAGTGGTTCTCAAGGTCTCCTCTCGTTACCACGCAAGGAGGAGACTGTAACGAGGATGTAATATTGATTTAATAGAGATATTAAAAAATATTACTTATATATATATATATGTATCTTTCTCTTTCTCTTCTCGAAAAAAGGAAAGAGAATAATTAGTGAAAAGAATTAATACTACTTTCGATATTAAAAGTTATTTTCTATCGAGGGTATCAAAGCGAGGATAGTTTTTTTCAGGGAGTTGTATCGGATCGGAGGATATAAATTAGCCGGATGGGAGGTTGATTTTAAACATTGTTAGAGGCGTGATAAATATGTTTAACACCTACTTTTGAATTATCTCGGCATGACGAGGTACGAAATACGATTCTTCGTGGCAAAAAAGCATCGATTTCTTCCTCCATCCGATCGTTTGCATCCGCAAACGGGGAGAACACCCTTTTTGCCCGTATCTCTTCTTCTTCTCTCGCGCCGCGACCAATCGATAAAGAATTAATCCGAGGTGACCATGCTTCCCCTCGGTTTCTTGCACGGAACCATCCGCTTTTGGACCATCCTCGGATAACTTGGCTAGATCATTGGAATCTCGATCTCCTCCTCATCTACCTGTAACGATCGACGGTCGATTAATTTTTCACCAATTACTTTTTTCCTTTTTTCAAATATTGTTTTCAAGAGAAAGTAGTTAACGAGACAGAGAGACACTCTCTTCATCCGGGAAAAATAATTTACTTAAAAAAAATTTAAACCACGAAACACCAAATCGAGCACCAAAAAACCCGTAACACGAGCGTTTCTCCAAAAAACATTCTCCATCCAACGACATCCCCCGCATCCCGAGCGGAAAGGAAGGGAAAGATGATCGGCGAGGGTTGAAACGAGTTTATCCTCCGCCATCCACGAGTTGTCGAACGCGCGATGGGAATAAAATGTGAAACTGTAAATTGTGCGTGGGAAAAATCGGTCCCTGGACGGTCGTGGCGGTCGACCATGCTTCGTGGAAAAGGTGGAACCCATCCCCCACACCCCATCGTCCCTACCCATCGCGAGGGTTGATCCTTCAGGAGGGAAGGCCGGTCGGGGAAAAGAGGGAGGGAAAGGGGGATTCGTGGACGATTTAAATGCGCGTTCGAGCGATCGAGCAACGTTCGAGGAAGAAGGGAAGGGGGGTGGGATGGAGCACAGCCTCGAAGGAGCTGGAAATTTGTTACGTTGTTGTCGAACGATCACTCCCCAGCGAATATGAAGAAAGATTTCTTCTTTGGTTCGAGGAGGGGGAGGAGAGAAGGGGAGGGTGGATGGCGGTTCCTCTCTTGACAGAAGGAAGGTCGCTGAGGGTTGGTCGGCCGTTTCCAGTGGAAGAGGAAGGGAGGGGATGGTGAACACGGTGCCAGGAATATAAAGCGAGGGATGAAAGAGACGGCGGTCACATATGCGACTCGTAAAAGCTCCTCTGAAAAGCTGCATCCTTCCCTCCACCGTGCCCCTGGAACTCGGCCTCCCTTACATTTCAACGATGGTACTGGGATATCGCGACAACGATATGTTTCTATGTCGAGAGAATCTGGAGAAATTCCCTTTTCTTTCTTTTCTTTTCTTTTTTTTTTTTTCTTCATTATTGAATTTATATATATATGTGCAAAGATGAAGCTTTTCTTTTTTTCTCTCAATCCGATCTAGATCCACTTTTGAAATGATATAATTCGAAATATTTCATAGTTATTATATCGTGTAATAACTATGAAATAATTATTCAAGTATTACAGTGGAATAAATAATTAAATAAATGATTAAATAACAATTAACATTACCATCCATTTCACGACGAATATTCCTCCGTTGACTTTCATGAAATTTTCTAAAATACAAAAATACGTTTACTTTTATTTTATTTCTTATCTTATCGCGTGTAATCAAACGCTTATTACGATTTTCCAATTTCTTTCTTTTTCTCTTTTCTTTTCTTATCGATACACAATCATAATCGAGGTGCACGTTAGCACGGTTGAAGGAGAAAAGAAGCAGAATCCGCGGCGACATCGGACGTTTCTATGGAAACGTACAAAAGGCACGTTCAACCCCGGGGTGGGAGGGGAGGGGAGGATCTAGCGATATCGGCGAATATTAAGAAATAGCTCTCGACCGGCATTTCCGTACATTTGCGGGCAGAGAACGAGCCATTCGTCCGCCGGCCAGAACGAGGTGCTGTCTATGCATGGCACGCCGGCACCCACCCATCCAACCGCCCCATAAATAATATCTCTTCCCTCTTCCCTCCTCGCTCCCTCACACTCACTTCGTCCCCTCTCGCGCCGTCTCGCGAGCTCTCGAACATTTCATCTTTTTCCATACGTGCCCCATTCCACTAAGAACACATAATTCCAAGCTAAGGCTGTGGAAAATAGGGACGAGAGAGATCTTAATGTCTTAATTTTCGATCGAGTAAGTGTGTCAATAATTTATTGCAATTTAAACATTTTTAATTATTTCGATAGACGATTCGTTGTTAACGTTAACAAATGTTACTTTCATTCCGTAATTTCGGAACGATATTATGGTGTACCATTCGTCGAAGTATAATTAACAAGTCTAGGTATTAGATACACGGATCAAGCCGTGCAAAATTTGTTTAATCGGGTGTGCATCGCGAAAACAATGGGAGGAAACAGTTAACGATCTTGCCGGTTGAATCGGGTAAAGATTGTTCGAAAAAAAAAGAAAGAAAAGAAAGAAAAGGAAGGAAGGATCTCGCGTGATATATCATCGAACCGACGAATTTATCATCGAACCGCGACAAGCCGCGCTTGTTTTTTCGGGACAGACAATTCCTTGCGGAATTGTCGGCCGCTTAATCGTCCATTTCCACCTGTCAGTCCGCGCCGATGGACTCACAAAGAAGGGGGCCTCTCCTATCCCAAAAAAGAGAAAGCCGCAAGAAGACGCGCAGACAGAAAAAGAAATTCGAGAAATCCGAGGCGGATTACTACTCGGAGGCGCATACTACCGGCGCGGCAAATAAAAATCCGCTCGAATGGACGAACGCGGAAAAACAAGAGAGCAAGAGAGAGAGAGAGAGACGTTGCTCGTCACAGAGGCGGGGAATTACCGGAAGATGTTCCTCGATGTTGCTCGTGGATGAGGGTGAGGCTGACAATAAGAGTTCCAAGAGTCATTGCACCCTGCATACACGCAATCGTGTTTCAGACTAATAGAACAATCCGCGAAGCGTAGTTTGCCATTATTTTCGAAAAATAATATAATTTCTTCTCAAAATTTTCTCTCTCGATACTTCTTAACTTACCAACAACAGACTCAACTTAAATAGAATTCAATATTGCAAATTGGCCAAAAAAGAAAAGAAAAATAAGAACATATTTACTTTACAAATTAAAGCAAAGATCGATATATTTTTTTAGCAGAAAAAATTAGAAACATCGAATTCTAGAGCGAATTCTAACGGAATTAATCGTACAAGCGAAACAACTCTGCGAGAGAAGGAAAGGGGGGAGAGGAAAAAATCTGAAGGAGGGTGAAGAAATTCGAACATGGTCGATTGTCTGGAAGGGGTGGTTACGCTCCCGCGAGGCGCGACAGGGCGCCTTTTCCCTCGCAGCGACTAAACGTCGACGTTTCTCTCCGCCATTATTTCTTTTCCTTTCTTCTCTTTTCTTTTCCCCCTCCTATTCCGTTTCCACGCTCCCCCTCCCCCGTGGAAATCCCTCGCGGCGCTCACTCAATCATACGCTATTTGTGTCGTACGCGGCACAAGAGTAACCCGTGGCAAGAAAAGCGACCGTCCACGGGCCAAGAAACGCTCACCCCCTTCCTGTTCCTCCTGTCACTCTTCCCCCCTCCCCTCCCCTAATCGCTGTTTTGCCGAGACTCACGTCGCAAATCTTGCCACCCATTTTCCGATTTTTCCCTCGCGTAACGCGATTCCGATCCCAACCCGATTCCGGTTAAATATTTACTGTCCGCTTGGCCTGATTAATGATACGTTTCTTGCATTCTGCGCTCTTAATGTTGGAAAACGTGAGCAAGAGAGAAGGATTGTATAATTTTCTCGTCGTCGTTTATATATATATATTCTGCTCTTTCTATTTTTATTTTATTTTTATTATAAATCGGCGAACATAAATCTTTGCTTCACAAGCTGGATGAAGTGTCTCGTATCAAATCTTCTAAAGAAGTTGTAACGAAGAAATTCTATTCCAAGTAAAAAGTAACTATTCTATTTCACTACTATTCTTATCCCTTTGATATCGTAATCTGATTACAAGGATCAAACGTTGCGTTGAATATCGAAATCGATTTCGAAGAGATCCGTTTCGAAAACAAGAGTGCATAAAGCTTGGAAACGAGGGTATTATTTCTACGTAATTTTAAGTAAATGTCACCCAAGGGAACTGATGCGTTCGTACGTCGCGCGATTCGCTTTTTGTTATCCCCGGCTGTTCAGGGGGTAAACGAAATCATCGAACGAGGGGGGAGGGGATCTTTCGATCAACCTCCTCTCCTTCCCCTAATCTCGCCCCATCCTCGTCGATCTCGGTCTCCATTCGAGTAGGAAACGAAGGCACGAAGGTTTATCCGACTGGCGTTTCCGGCGGCGTATATCGGCCTCTTATATCGTATCGATATGACGGGCCTGAGGGTCGGTCGAAGTAAAATCATTAGTAATGCGATTGTGCCGCCCTCCGGCCACCATTTCCCCCTGCTCCTTGAACAAACGTTTCCAACTGTGTTATATGCGGGTTTTTGCAAAATTCGAGGGGGAAGAATCTCGAACGGAGTTGGAAAAAGACTTTACCTCGTGACGATATGTAAATTCTACTATTGTAGTGGACACTTGTTTTGAGAACAATTGCATTTTTGGACTCTTACATATATATGTTTACATATATACATATATATAAATTTTATTTCGTATAAAAATGGAATTCTGGAATGGTGAACGTGATATTTTAGAGGTGTGTGATATTAGAATATTAGACGAATGTAAAATTATTATTGAATTAAATTTTTGTAGTTTGAGAGTAAATAAAATGTGGAGAATTTTTATCATACGAATGTGTGTATTTATGATTGGATTAAACAATTTTTGGAAATTAGTCAACTTTCCAATTTTCGTTTATTATTATATCAAATTATATAAAAAGTTCTGAATAAAAGTTCATCCATATTTTATACCCTCGCCATTATTTTTGCAGTTGTACAATTATACAATTTATAAGGACCCATTTATAAATCCTGCCGTAAAATTAAGGGAAGAGAACGAAATTATTTGACGATACGTAAAGATATTTATGGTTGTTATGTAAAAATAAAATAATTTCTCTTTATCGTTGTGCGGAGACGGTCATTATATAGTCCCTGAAGCGTAAAATTCATTTCTACTTACAATTAGTTTCAACATCCGATTATCGTAGGTATGCTCGCGTGTTAATACACCGTCTGATGATTTAATTCCATCGTGATATCCCATCATTTTTCGTATCATAGAGGAAAAAAAAAATACACCTTAAATGTTTTCCTGAAATCAAAACCAAAAAAAAAAAAGAAAAGAGAAAAAAACACGATCGAAATAATTCGATCAACGAATCATCACCTCTCTTGCTAATACA